CGTGGTATGCCGGCTTGTAGTAGGCCCCGTACGTGCGTTTAGGTTTTTGTTGCTTCGGGGAGTATATGAAGGGCATCTGGGAGTTCAGCTGGGTCTCCCCAATCAGTATCTGCTGTGAGCTGCAACGGATGGTGGCGGATTGCCAAGAAATTGTGCAGATTGCAGTGTCGCCGTCGGAGCAGAGAGAGATGGCGTCTGGTCCGCTTCAGTGCCAGGCTCTGCCCTCCAAAACAATAATCTTGTGTGTTGTGTGTTGTATATAAAGGGCAGCAAAATCCCTGTTCCCCCAGGTTGCACAATCCTTATACTGGCTCTGACTGTACAGCAAATATTATATGTATATTAGAACACATTTATTGTAGGTGATTAAAAAAAGATATTTAATATGGTTTGCTCCATGATCGTTAACAATCATCATTCATGCTAAAGGAGTTAACAATCTTAAAAACACTGACGGATATTCAAGATACTGGAACTACACTTTACTGTGTAAAGGTCAGGTTTGAATCAAAATATGCCTTTATTATTGTTTTTACACATTTACACTGCATGAATTTCAAAGCTGACTGACTACCATAAAAATTGAAGAAATAAAAGCCTGTGAAACTACAATTTCACCTTAAACAAAGTATATACATTCAAATTTGATGTAAATACCCACTTGAATTGCATTTTGTTTTAAATGCAAATACATGTATGTAACATTATATGTTACATTGAATTTGCTTTAGAATTATAAAAAGGTCATAATAGGCCTGAACAGATCCAAAGTTGTAATGTTTACATTGCAGCACTAGGTGCAAAAGGGACACAACACCCAGACCACTTCAATGAGCTGAAGTGGTCTGGGTGCCAAGAGTGTCCCTTTAATCACCTAACAAAATCCCTGCCTTCTCATGGAAATGAGGTTTGCATTTAAATGTTAGCACTCTAGATAACAGCCCTGATACATAAAACTAATCTCTTATCTGCACCTTAAAGAGGATTCCAGGATTTTTAATATTGTGTTTACTTATCTCTATATTTGACAAATTGGTATTTGTGAAGTGTGAACAATAAAATTAAATGGAGATATCCCCACCTTTGCATGCTGCAATTCGGCGCATCCCTCTTTGCTGCTTGCCAATCATTGTTATAAGCTTGTTTCTTGCACCTGGCAATCAGCACAGACAAAAAGAAAAAAATCAATTTCTCCTCTTAATGAGTAAAGTTTTCCTGGTTTTGTCTTGTCTGAAATAGTGTTATGATGTCATTTGCTAAATCTTTAATATAAATGTAAAAATAAAACAGAACATCTCATGAAAAAAGGTTAACACAAGTTACAGGTACTTTTCAATATTTAATTCATTTAGTACATTTCAGCAAAGTGACCTTTTCCCTTTAAGTAAAATAATGTATTCCTCTAGAACATCTTACATGATTTCTGACATAATCTATTTATGTTGCAGTGCATTGCATGGTGCTATTTAACACAAATACAATAGGTCACAACATGTCACAGCATCACATGGCACTTCATTATGTCAGTGGTATACCACATCACATAACCTAAATAGAAAATATAATCATTATTAGTCAACTATAAAGTACTTTACAATGTTGCATTAGTTCTGCTATGAATGATTGTATTTTTTAAATATCTCAAGAAACAAAAATGTAAGCTTTCAACTAGCAATGCAACCTAATTTTTTCTAACATAAAGTAACCATGTGCAATATTTCATACTGATGAATAAAACCTGCCCTCTCTTGACAAATTATCTTAAAATGCCCCTTCCCACTTTAACATTTCAGAGTAAAGAATTCTGTAATTAGAAAATTGTTAGGCTTCTTTACTACCCCAAAAACGACACCAAAATAAACTGAGTGAATTCATAGAGCTGTGTACTGGGTCAGGATGCAAAATTCAGACATTGTTCACAGAGTGCTGTGTGTGAGGTGTGTGAGAGTGCTGTGTGTGATGTGTGTGAGAGTGCTGTGTGTGAGAGTGCTGTGTGTGATGGGTGTGAGAGTGCTGTATAAATGTTAGAATGGATTGTGTGTGTATGGGGGGGGGGTAAATAAACAAATAAAATAACAGGCTTATGTCCCCCCCTCCTTTCTTACCTTTAGCCTGGGAGGGACCGCACACTGAGGTGTGTGTTGTGTGTGAGAGTGCTGTGTGTGAGAGTGCTGTGTATGTTGTGTGTGAGAGAGTGATGGGTGTGATGGGTGTGAGAGTGCTGTATAAATGTTAGAATGGATTGTGTGTGTATGGGGGGTAAATAAACAAATAAAATAACAGGCTTATGTCCCCCCCTCCCTTCTTACCTTTAGCCTGGGAGGGGGGGGACCGGCACACTGGTGACTGGGAGGCGGGGTGGCGGTGTTCCATGGTGGTCCTCGTGGTGAGTGAACTCTAGCCCGCATAGCCTGCGTGCTAGAGTTCACTCTCGCGCGATCCGGTCGTTGCCATGGCAACGCGCCGGATCTCGCGAGAGGAACCCGGCGGAGCTGCAAGTTAGAGCTCCGCCGGGTCCTCTCTCCTGGCTGTCTCCCTCCCTCTCTCCCTGCCGGCGGCCGCATTTAACAGCTTGTGGGCCGGTGAGGGAGATCTTTGATCTCCCCACCGGCCCTTCATGAAAAACAGCGGGATTGCTCGGATAGCTCCGGCCCTGCATAGACCGGCAGGGGAGATCCTGGGACCTCCCCTGCCGGCCTTGGCCCATGGACATCACGGCCCACCTGGCATTTGCCCGGTGTGCCCGATGGCCAGTCCGGGCCTGCTAATAAGTACTAAAGATGCCTGCCACGAAGGACCCATGGAAGAGAGCTGCATGGGTGCCTTACTTTGCCATGTTTCTGTGTGTAGTGCTAATCTACCTGTGCTATTTCAACTCTAGTTTCCCTTGATCATCCCTTATCCATTTTCCAATCCAGCTACATTAATGGTCTCAAAGCCAAAGATTGAAAGGAATTTGCTAAAAAATAGTAAATATGTACTACAGACAAAATACCAAGATAATACATTACAGTAGATTATGTGTTCATTGTAAGACATATTTAAAATGGTCTAATTAATAGCTTGCAATAGTCCAAATATACATAGAAATGTGTTCTCTAATGTACAAATGATAAAACATGTTTGCTTCCCCTCTACCAGCTCTACTTAATTGCATTACATTTTACTTTGTTTCATTTTGTGTTATTCCTCCACATATTTCATTACTATATATGCTATAGAGACAGTTTGCACAAGTGCAGATAATGATTTTTATCCTGTCCATATACTCCATTTACTAATAGCTTCCCATAACTCTCCATCGTTCACTTTTTTAATTATTCTTTTGGGTTCTTATTGTGCTTCATTATGCATGCATCTTCCTACAGAGCAACACAATTATGGAGTAACCTCAGGGACACAGTCGAATCTTCATTCAATCTAAAATATTTTAAGAGATCTATGGCAATATATCTGAATACAGAATGCACCTGTCATGGTTGACTGTCTTTATAACCTATTATGTGTTAAATTTATATATGTATATGTAAATATATATGTGTGTATACGTGTTTATATATGTGTGTATGCGTGTATATATATATTTATATATTTATATATATACACTGAACAAAATTATAAACGCAACACTTTTGTTTTTGCCCCCATTTTTAATAAGCTGAACTCAAAGATCTAAGACTTTTTCTATGTGCACAAAAGGCCTATTTCTCTCAAATATTGTTCACAAATCTGTCTAAATCTGTTAGTGAGCACTTCTCCTTTGCCGAGATAATCCGTCCACCTCACAGGTGTGGCATATCAAAATGCTAATTAGACAGCATGATTATTGCACAGGTGTGCCTTAGGCTGGCCACAATAAAAGACCATTTTAAAATGTGCAGTTTTACTGTATTGGGAGCGTCCGGGGGGGTCCGAAGACCAGTCAGTATCTGGTGTGACACTCATTTGCCTCACCCAGTGCAACACATCTCCTTCGCATTGAGTTGATCAGGTTGTTGATTGTGGCCTGTGGAATTTTGGTCCACTCCTCTTCAATGATTGTGCGAAGTTGCTTCATATGCGTACAGATTACTGTTCATACTAAAATAATACAATAAAATACTACTAATATAATAAAATAAAAGTATGCATATGAATAAATCAACAAGAGTGATCTGTGGTAGTTAGGCTTTTAAATGTAGTCTAAATGCTGCTACCATTAGTGTAAGTTCCTCCACAACTATACACACACAATACATGCAAAAACACAGCAACCGAGAGGAAAGCAATGGCACAAACCATTTTTAACAAATATACTTACCCCTCTGTAGTATAGGGGTATCTTACACAGAGTATATACTGTAATATTGTATGAACAATTGAGAGTGAAAGGTAAGTAAGATGAATGCACTCACACAAAACAGAGCCTTAAAGGGATATGCTCCAATCTCTTGGATAGGTGCGTACTAGGGTGACAATGGCCCTCTTCAATCAACTATTAGGAAAGACTTAAAGAAAAGACAATGATAGAATACCGCTAAGGCTTTGTTTTGTAGTGTATTCATCTTACTTACCTTTCACTCTCCATGGTTGATACAATATTACACTATCAATTTTCTGTCTATTTTAGTTGTTTCTCAGGACTCTGTATAAGATACCCCTACACTACAGGGGTGGTAAGTGTATTTGTTACAAATTAGCACTCCATATGTCCTACAGTTGCTGTGTTTTCTTAAAAGCATGTATATGTACAACATTTTTAGTTTTCATTTCTTCATCATTAAATAAAATTTAGAGTAATTAAAAGCTTTAGAAAATATATAGTATCCCTTTTTTCCAATAGTTCACACAGATTTGAAATATTAGTATAGAAAACAAAGATAATGTTTTCTCTCATACAATAAGTGATATAAAAATAAATAAATACAAATTATGAAATACCTTACTTGCAGTTATAACGAGCCTGATGGCACAACTACCTGTACAGTTTAATAAATATACACAAGTCATAAAAGGAATATCTGCATTTCAGCATAATGCTTATATGCAGTACGTACAATTAAATCATATATAGTGGGACCTCGGTTTACAAACGCCTCGGTTAACATAATTTCTGGTTTACAAATGAAAATCCATTGAAAATAATGACTCGGTTTACAATTTTTTTCCTCAATACAAAGCAAGTTTCCCCAGGATGCATTGCACCTGGCAGGTTTATAGCACCGCCCTCTGCATGCTAGTATGGCCTTTGTACTTTTCTTAACTTTTTGAAAGGAGGGTTGTCTTTCTCAGAACATTTGCAGACATTAAATGGATGAACTTGACTCTTGAAATGTGTTCCTGTACAAGCTGGTCATTTATATATCGCTGATATAAGTGATGGTCGGTAAGATGGTATGGATTGCTTATTGATTTTCTTTTCAGTGTATGGGGTTACTACATAACACATGTATTTATCAGGTAAAGTTTGAGCTCTGTCAACTAAAAGTTTACCTGTACTAGTTTTTCAGCAATTATATATATATATATATATAAATAAAAACAGTGGTTTTAGGAAATTGTTATTGATTGATCTCTTTTCAGGACTCGGGTTACTGCCACCTATGTATTTATCAGGTAAAGTTTGAGCTCTGTCAACTAAAAGTTTACCTGTACTAGTTTTTCAGCAATTATATATATATATAAATAAAAACAGTGGTCTTTAGGAAATTGTTATTGAAATGATCTCCAAAGAGGACTCGCAAAGTGCCACCTAACACAAACAACACATTATTTCTTATACTTCTTATTACAGGTATAGCACTAATAACACTAAGTTACAAATGTATAAAAGTGTGTCAGGTTAGTTATTCAAGTTGGTTATTTCAGGCGAAATGTTCCTGCTCTCCAAACTTTAAAAATACACAAATATATCTGTTTTGTGGATTCTTGCAATATTTGGTCCTGTATTATTAACTTTCCTAATATTCAAAGGAAAGTTTGCTTTATTTGGCATATACGTTTTCAATAAACTTTAAGAGCACTAAGTATTGTAAAACCCCAGTAATCCTATTATTCTGCATTTGGAATTCAAATTAACCAATCTCTGCCCTTTATCCACCCATGCCTGAGGGGGGGGCGGGGGTGTAGGCATGGTTAAAAATGCAATGACAAGCAACTCCTGCTGGTCTTCCTTGCATCATTCTTCATAGAATTGGACCCTATACAACATGGGTCCTCAAACTCCAGCCTCCTAGATGTTGCTGAACTACAACTCCCATGATTCTCTGGCTATCTATGTAATTCAAAGAATCATTGAAGTTATAGTTCAGCAACATCTGGGCGGACGGAGTTTGAGGACCCATGCTATACAATGTAAAATCACATTGTAATTACTAAGCTGCCTTGAGGCAAACAGTTAAAGAAGCACAAACATGTATTCCTGACCCTATAGTGTTAAAAACACCTTCTTCCCTACCCCCTACCTTGCACCCCCCTCCCCCCCTTACTTTTATTCCAGTCTGCTTCTGCTGGCTCTGCCCCTGATATGCCTGTTAGGCCGCCATCATCATAAGTGTTGCTCAAGGCCAACCACAATGTGTTCCCATAGAAATGCACTGGAATGGCTGAGAGTGTCAAGGAGGCAGATCAGGGACAGAGCCAATCCAAGCCAAAGACAGCCCTGGCCAATCAGCATCTTCTCATAGAGATGCATTGAATCAATGCATGTCTATGAGGAAAGTTCAGTGTCTCCATGCAGAGGATGGAGACACTAAATGGCAGTGCTGCATACTGTGCAGCACTGCACCAGGAATCACCCCTCGTCACCATCTGAGGAGTTGCCAGTGGAGGTATTCCTAGGCTGTAATGTAAACATTGCCTTTTCTCTGAAAATACAGTGTATACTGCAAAAAGCCTGAAGGTAATGATTATACTCACCAGAACAAATAAAATAATCTGTAGTTGTTTTGTTGACTATAGTGTCCCTTTAAATAGGGCAAAAAGTAAATTAAATTGAGTCTGATTATAGTTAAATAATTATCATATTTGTGCATGCACATATTGATATATCAGTGAACTAGTAGCCAATGCATTTTCATTCTTGCATTTATTTACCTTCACTCTACCATTCTCTCTTTCTCTCTTCAAACAGTTGTTGCCTATTCCTTTACTACTACATTCAAATCATTAAATTAGGTGTTGGATATCACTGCTTATGACATGAAAACATCTCAGGCACAGCAGGCAGCTATTTTGAGAACATAGACAATAAGCTGATCTGCTTGTCATTAGCATGAAAACATTTGCAAGTAAGCATAGAAAAGCTGAGAATGTCTCGTACATAAAGCCTAATGACATTTAAAATTATATTCTGTTTTCATGTATCAGGTAAAGGGACATTTGGGTGATGCACTATTTTCTGATACCGCACATTCTGTCCTTATCCAGAAATATATGCAATTCAAGTAAGCAAATGCAATAAAAACATCAGAGCTCAGTGTATCCTGATTGCATTTTAACATAGTTTGATTTAATGAAAGAATCTGTAGACATACAGGAGGCCTTGGAAAGTAGGTAATTTGTGTTATATCCAAAGCATCAAGACTTGCATGACAGTTCTTAAATGCATTGAATAGTGAATGCTAGTGTTTTTTAGGGGTTATTCACTAAACAGATTCATTTTGAATTGAGAACTGCAAAATCCAAGATGGCTGTATTTTTTACTGTTGTTTTAAAACTCAATGTTTGATGAATAAATTGATCATAGAATTTCAAATGTAGTGCCTATATATAATAAAATTATACATTGCATATTCTTCAACACAGGGACACATTCAATGGTGTGACCGATGGTGTGGCCCAGGGGCTGTTCTGAGACATTTTAGGTGACTAATAGCAACGTATGCAACAGAAAGGTAGTTTTAAAAAATAACTGATTTGTATTTACACAGACAGTTTAATGACACGTTACTGCTAGTATTATTGCTGTGGATCTCTGTTATACACTCAGACACATCAACAATATGGAGCTACTTGAAAAAAGGAAGATAAGGAGAGAAAAAAGAGGAACAGAGAGATGTGGGTCCAACTTTGGGACTGTTCCTCCTAAATAGGGACACTTGGCATATATTATATTGTATTGTGATTTTCTTCTACTCTTTCCTTTGTTAGACAATCTAAAAAATATGTAAATAATGTAATTCTTTATTAATATTAAAACAACTTTTGCATCATTCATCCAGAGTAACTTGCATATTTTTGTTCAAAAAATTACTAGCTGGTTTTAATTCTGAATTTATACCTGTGACATGTACCAGTTAAAAAGAATTAGTAAGTCATTACATTATTAAACACTTATATTAATAGAAATCTGCTTTGGACAACTAAGTAGAGAAATTAGAATGTTGGCTTTGTTTGATGAATTCATGAGTTTGGGAAATAGCAGCATGAGTTACTCTTTAATAAATGAGTATTCTGTATATTCATAACATGCAAGCCCAAAAATAGATGCTAGCTATAGCTTACATTCAAGCTTTGGAAATACATCCCCTGAAACAAGTGCCCTGAAATGGAAAATAACTCTGAATGGATCCACATTTAGAATGGCATGCTGTTTCCAAGTTAGAGTAATTCACACAGGATCTTAATGTTCTCAGGAATTGATACAAGTATTTTATTTAAGAACAACACCATGCTTGATCGCATGCTTGATATGACTGTTAAATTAACTAAATGTTTTAAATGTATAATGGTGTTTTTTTTTTTTTTTAAATATAGAATGGCAGCTGTTTAATCTAAACTATACACTGAAGTCTGTAACTTGTGAAAGGAGATAAAATGGCAAAAGTTACATTTCTGTTTCACCATTTCAAGTTCACCCCAATTTATTTTTTATTATGGTTAATATTAATGGCATTTATATAGCTCCAACTTATTAAACAGCACTTTTTCAATATTATTACCAATAAGACCGCGCAAAAGCAGTGATACTACTTCAAATAAACATAATCAATACAATACAAAAATACAATTCTGTAGAAAAGCAGATATACACATAGCAAACTTCGCCCAATGTTCAACATATAACAAATCACAAATAAATGTAAGCTCTTAGTGGATAAGCCCCTAATTGGAATGATCAAGCTCCATTCAAGTATCCAAAATATTTATGAATAAAATAAAACTTAAAATAAAAATTTGAAAATAAAAAAGTCCTGGGATACTCTGTGGTGAGGGTAGTCTGCAATATGCTACAGTCGAACTCCATTGTGACAACATATACTTTTAGTTCAGTAGATGCAACTGTTTCCAAGTGCCTTAAAAGTGCCTTAAAATATACAAAAGGATCCAAATATGTGTAGCACTGTTATATATTTAATACCAACCCTTCCCCACTATGAACTCTTACATTAAAATATTGTGGTGCTTGTATAGCGGCATTTTACTTTGGCGTTCTTCCGGGCAGGGAGGATCCAACGTCGTTTTCCGCAAGCAGATCTTTCCCGGGTAACAGACGAACGGAGCAGTAACATTGCCCTGCTATCTGTTTGAATATTTATTTTACTGTGATCCTTGGGGAAAAGCACCAAATAATTCCAAATTTGACTTTCTGGACATTTCACAGAAGCATAGTCTTTTTATCTATTTATATTTATTGATTGATTGATTTATTTTAATGTTCTCTCCTGGTTTGTCTGATTAGCTATTCTAGCAAGTTGGCTATATAAGGTGTTTGTTGAGCAAATTCCTAATTTCTTTGGGACTTGAATGTAGAACAAACAGTTAAAAAAGCATGTTAAAAATTGTAAGCTGTCACTTTATTCTTTTCTTTGTTAAGATAAATGTTCATAATAGGTTGCCACAAATTGTTCTTGAAAATGACATTCTCAGAAAGTGATAAATAATCTTTTAAATTAAGTGAAGGTTTAAAGTGTGATAGAGTTTCAAAGGTATCATACACCTTTTCTTCACAAACATTTTGTCTAACAGCATCAGATCTTTAAATCCTTATCTATTGTTGTCATTCCCATGCAGATGTCTTACTTGTTAAACATATAATAGATTTCTGTCAAAATCTGTCCTATATAACATAAAAGCAAAGTCAAGAACACAGGCACATATATATATTAGATTTAAAACAATGTTCAAGTGCATTCCAAATCAAATATTTGGGTTTCATCAAAGATACAACATTAGTTTAACCAGCTTCACAGTAGACGTTTTATTTATAAGACAATTAGATATAATGATGCAAATATATTAGAAAGTTGAATATAGTCCTGTGCTACATTGGCCTTGATTTAGAAAACTGTGTTGTATATCCCCAATGTCCCGAGTTCTGTATGACAGTCCTGATTTTTGTGTCTTGTTTTGCCGTCCTGCCTTGGATCCTTGGTGTCCTGTTTTTGTGGACACCCGGGAACTGTCCCTGGACGTGCTTGTGCTATGATTAGGGCACTAGGACCCTGCAGGGAGCACTGAAACTATGTTCCCTGCAGGGTCAGCGGTCCTTGGGCTGGCCTGTATACCTGAACAGACTGGAGTCTATTCACGACAGGCTGACCTGCCATTAAAAAAAGCAAGAGGATATTCAATGCTTGTCTAAAACTGGTACATTCTAGAGGGCAGCTAGGTCACCAAATCCGGGGTCTCTCTTGTCCCATTGAGAAGCAGGTAAAAACAAAGAGGGAGGTGCAGCACCTGGAATGTCCTTGGAGTGTGTATATATAACACTAAAAAGGAGGAGAAATAGCACTGACACTTTAAATGAGCTTAGGTACAGCTCCAAGTTAGCTTGGTGGAATAATCCCTGCCTGAGGATGTGGCAGAGTACAGACTCTATAGGAGGTTCTTGTGGATGCAGCTTCTCTTGCAGATATATAGGAGAAATCATAAATATATAGTGCAATATCCCAGACTCAATATGAATATGTGTAGCCATTAGAGATGTGCACATGTTCTAAAGCCAAGAGAGTGGCTCCACAGGTATGGCGTGAAGTGGTATGATCCAAACTCTGGGAAATAGGTGCTGGTGGTCTCTCTCCAATTCTATATGTAAAAGAGAAAATAAAACCACATAGTATAGACCAGTGATGGCGAACCTATGGCACGCGTGCCACAGGTGGCACGCGGGGCCCTTTCTGTGGGCACGCGGCCACAGGTTTGCCATCACTGCAGAGTAGGTGCCTGCCTGCCCGAAACGGCAGGCGCCTACTCTGCTTCTGGGTCGGGAGGCAGGGGGAGGGCTCTAAGAAGCAGCTCCCCTGTCCTCCCGCGCGATGTTGTGTGGAGCGTTGCCGCACGTTACCATGGCAACGCTCCACACAGCATTGCGCAGGAGGACAGGGGAGCTGCTTCCTGGAGCCCTCCCCCTGCAGTGCTTACCACCACCGGACCACCAGGGATGGCTGTGTCCCCCCTCTGCCCCCTCATTAAAGGTAAGAAGGAGGGGGGGGTATACTGACACACAGCACCCTTACCCCCCCAGAAGTAGCCCTACCCCCAGCACCCCTACCCTCCCCAGCAGCACCCCTACCCTCCCCAGTAGTAACCCCTACCCTCCCCCAGCAGTAACCCCTACCCTCCCCAGCAGTAACCCCTACCCTCCCCAGCAGTAACCCCTACCCTCCCCAGCAGTACCCCTAACCCTCCCCAGCGGTAACCCCTACCCTCCTCCCCAGCAGTACCCCTGCCCCCATACAGTACCCCCCCCAGCAGTACCCCTACCCTGCCCGGCAGTAGCCCCTACCCTCCCCAGCAGTAACCCCACCCCCCCCCAGCGGTACCCCTACCCTGCCCAGCAGTAACCCCTACCCTCCCCAGCAGTACCCCTACCCTGCCCAGCAGTAACCCCTACCCTCCACAGCAGTACCCCTACCCCCCATACACAGTACCCCTACCCACCCTCCCAGCAGTACCCCTACCCCCACACACAGTACCCCAACCCTCCCAGCAGTACCCCTACTCCCCTCACACAGTACCCCTACCCCTCACACACAGTACCCCTACCCCTCCGCAGCACCCTTACACATATAGCACACACACACAGCACCCCCTCACACACAGTACCCCTACCCCTCCGCAGCACCCTTACACATATAGCACACACACACAGCACCCCACACACACACACACACAGCACCCCTCACATACAACACTCACACACCCCCACCTCAATGCGGTATGTGTATTCCAGCCACAGTCTGTGTGTGTGTGCGTGTATTCAGCAGTCTGTCTGTGTTTGCGTGTATTCAGCTGTCTGTGTGTTGTGTGTACTCAGCTGTCTGTGTTGTGTGTGTACTCAGCAGTCTGTGTGTGTGTGTACTCAGCAGTCTGTGTGTGTACTCAGCAGTCTCTCTGTGTGTGTAGCAGCAGTCTGTGTGTGTGTACTCAGCAGTCTGTGTGTGTGTGTGTGTGTGTACTCAGCAGTCTGTCTGTATGTGTATTCATCAGTCTCTGTATTCAGCAGTCTTGTGTGTGTGTATTCAGCAGACTGTGTGTATGTATTCAGCAGTCTGTCTATGTATGTATTGCATTTGTTGGAGATACTAATAAATATAAGCTTAATTTTATCTATTTATATCATTATTTAAAATTTGTATCATTGAACTCTCTGTGTTCTTTTAAAACAAAAGTTATTAGTTCGGACAACAGTACGAGTTGTTTTTTTCTAAACTTAAACCTCAGTATTTGGGTTTAATTGCCGTGTTGGCACTTTAAGGAGAAAAAATGTTGGCATGTATTGCGGTTTGGGCACTCGGGCTCAAAAAGGTTCGCCATCACTGGTATAGACTGTAAAAAGTGAAGGATAAAATGAAATAGATAAAAACTACTCACATTTGACAGAGCAAATAGGGATTGCTCTGTCACACAGGTTTAGGTGGTATTATCCCCACTAAGGATATAAAGTACAGAAATCCAGAAGCAAACAGATCCAATAAAAAAAAAAAAAACTTTTATTGATAAAAAAATAATAAATTATTATTATAATTATTATTTTATATTATATTATATATAATTATAAATTATATATTATATACTATTGTTATAAAAAATTTAGTAAAATAACTATTTAAAACAATATTTAAATACACTCGCATTTTTACCATTCAATGGCTTTCTCAAAAGTGTTTAAAAGGTAAACATAAAGTAACAGGTCTAGCTGTCTGACTAACAGCCGGAGTGAAAGGAGGGGGTTTATTTAAAAAGGATCATTTATAAAAGTGCCAATTTC